TTGTGTCCCACCATTCCTCCACTATCTCATTTTTTCCGGGCCCCCTTATGAACTGCGTTATTCTACAGCTGTCACGCCCCCTATAAGCTTACATATCAACTATTACTGAGTTGATGGAAAGTGGATTTTCTAGTGTTACCTGTTCCATGCTTGAGAAAGATGGAATAAACATCCTTGCACTATGGCGTTTGGAAATATAGCGTAAGCTGCATTTATTGCAGCGTGCTCAAAGTCTAGCACAACTCTGAGGCGCTGCAGCGGCCGTGGGCGGAAGAGCTCGAAGATATTTTGGAGATGAGAGAAGATCTCCCTGTACGTTTCTTCGGTTTTCCTTGCGGTTAATGCGTACAGGAGAGGAATCTCCACACCACCCGTGCAGACCCCGTGGACACAGTAAAGCTGCGCCAAGCTTTCTCCATCTCTCAACATCGCGAGCTCTTCTAGGATGGTCTCCAGCGTTACCGCCCTGTCTTTCAATGTATTGATAGCCCTGAAATAAGAATTTAAGAAGCATCGCACTCAAGGCTTTATTTCTGCTTCATATCTTGATATTGCTTGTCGACGCTGATTGTACCCGTCGCCGTAAAAAGCCATCAAAATTTCATCTGAATGGAATTTTCGAAAAGTAAATCTGTTAAGTCATAGTTACTATTCAATCACCGGTGTAGAGTCCTTCTGTTTGTGATAATGTCGCGTCATACAACTGCCGAGGAGGATCTTAACACCCTTTCTACTAAATTGAAAGGAAATAGAACTAAAGAATCAAAGTCACCTTCTCTAGTGACGTGAGTGATAGGGTGCATTATCCATAACTATAGATAAGCACCGACCACGAGCGATGTCCAGCATATGAGGGTCCCTCGGCCAATTCTCGAAGATCTCATGGTTCATATCACGATGATAGTCGTTCTCAACTAGACCGCAGCCACTGATGATTACCTTGCTGCAGCCGGGTATTACACCTTCTTTGCTCATGGCACCTAACGCAATAGCCCTTCGACCTTTGTCCTTTGTGGCCGTCGTTCCACAGGATTACTCCTGCATTGTATAGGCGGAAGCGAACCTCGGGATGGTGGAGTCGTTCCAGCCTTTCTTCCTCCTCATGCAGTCGAAGACCCACGTCTCGTCTATGTAGACGAGCCAGTGGTTCTCACTCCTGGCTCGTTCCACGGTGGACAAATACCTCTCTGATTTACGACATCCGAACGCTTGAAAATGTAGCGTTGACCAC